TACCCCCTAATATCGGTATCGGCCCCAAAAAACCCATATCGGTTGGGCTCTAATCAACAGCACACACTGTTTGCACTAAATGCTGTGTGTACACTAAAAACAGTGCCATGACATTCACCAACATGACCTGCTCAGTTCATATACACACCAGTGTGAAAGAATTGTCACAGAAAAACAGTTCTATTAAACTGCATCTTTTAGCTTATTTATACTGAATCTATAAATATCTAGTCAATTGTAAATATATTGTCAATTTAAATTTGCATAAACTCATGTGAGATTCACTTCAGGAACTTGTGCTGTTCTTGCCAGAAATATAAATCACATCCTTTTCCGTTATGACTGTGAAGATGTTGCAAGAAAAAAGGAAGGGGAAGATGAAACTTGGACAAACAATGTATTAGTATCTGGTTAAAAAGTTTCTATTCTTTGAGATATAGTTCAATATACCCGTGTTTAATTTAGCTTTATATAATCGTGTTTAGGTGATGATATACATGAGGTAAGACTCTGTTCTCCATCGTTGTGTCTCTCTGTAGGAGATCGACCCCAGTCTGGGTGTGGCGGAGCTCCCCGATGAGTTCTTCGAGGAGGACAACATGCTCAGTATGGGGAAGAAGATGATGCAGGAAGCCATGAGCGCTTTTCCCGGCATCGACGAGGCCATGAGCTACGCAGAGGTCATGAGGTCAGACTCAGTCGGCTTCCTGCATTGAACATATTGCACTGTAATAGTCTCACAATGCAATATTTCTTTCTAAACGGCATCGTCTTGAAAAGCTCTAGTCATAGGGGTGTTTAGATGAGGTTTGAGCCTTCATTAGCATTTCAAACACTTCTTCGATAAAGAGTTGTAAGTCAAGAATGAAACCAAAGGGTTCCAAAATGAATCGCAGCATTACAAACTTTCCTTCAAAGCATCCAAAAGACAAGGATAAAAGTGAGCAATGAATTACATAATTCAGTAATAAAAAAATAGTAAATAAAACCGGGTTTTATCTTGGCCTTTTAATGCAGTAACACTCTTCCACATCTAGATGGCAAACCACCCACAGTCACTGTTTACACCCACATTCAACAGTCATTTTTATGTTGTTTATTTAAAAATATGTATAAAATATGTGTGGTGTATATAATCATTAGCTTATTGTTATTGATGTATTTATTAATATAATTATTATTATAGAAATAAATTAATAGATTGTAGAAATACATTTATACAGTTATTTTGGTCCTTCAGAAATCATTCGAATATGCCGATTTAACATTTTTAAATTTATCTCTTTCTCAAATATTAAAGTATTTATAATAATAATAATTTTTTTTTATGTTTTAATAACAGTAATATTTTGAGATTTTTTTTTCTATTTGAATCAGTTTTAAAATGTAACTTATTCCTGTGATATCAAAGCCTTGGTGAGCATATTTCAAATCTTAATTATTTCAAACTTTTGACTGCTAGTGTCCAAAAAAAAAAAAAAATATATAT